ATCCACATCCAAAGGCCAGGTGGTCCAGGGTCAAGTTGTAGCAGGTTTCTAATTTCCTTACATTAGGACGTTTAACAAGTTCTTTTAAAATGTAGTATATTTAAAATAAAAATATCCCCTTTTTAATTGAGTCTGACTTTATATTCTATTGGAATTGGTATAAACTTGGTTCTATATTTTTGTGGACTCTCCAAGGGTGTAATCACCATCCTAAAAGTGAGGGACACTTTATTTTTTTTAAAGGTCTTGTTTTTCCTGCTTTGGTTCAAATAAGTGGCTGGGGGACATGTCCCACCCTGTACCTATGGTGGTTAGTGAACTTTTACATCTCTGAAGTATTCTAAACATGGACTTGTACTGAATACTAGTACATAAAACAGGCCATGACTAAAGTATTCCAGAAATTTAACATTTTGCAAATGCAAGGAATGTTAACTGTACAGTGTGGAAACTTGAATAATTTAAAGTAACGTACGCATAATTGGAGTAAGCTCTAAATTCTTTTTAATCTGACCCTTAAAAGTCAAGGGAAATTGTATCATAACTCTATTCGGGGGATTCAGACCATGTAGGCTGCATTAAAAACTGTTGTGAAATGAGTCTTGTCTTTGGATGTTTGTATGTTGTATAACATGCCTTCAGCTGGAAAATGTTAACCATCTTTCATGGGAGGCMTAACGTGTGTGGTGGTGGTGGGGGGGGGGGGCTCCATCTGTCAAAATTATCACTTGTTTTTGGCAGTTAATGTTACTGCTTCAAGATCAAAAAGCACATATTTACTGAAGAAGCCCCTGTATCTGCAGGAAATGGTTTGTTTCTGCTTTAGTGCTCTTGTTGCTAGATCAGGTGGGTTTCTACAATTGTGCTAGTTTTGAACATGTTGGGCTGGGGAGGTTAAGATTTCGGCTGCTTTTCACAATTTTAGGCAGGTTTTAGAAAGTAAATCAAGTGTCAAAAGCTCATGGAATGGACATCCGGTGGTGACGTTAAAGTTAATGGCAGCTTACAAACAGTGCTCCCACCTGGTTGGAAATAAGTCCCCCAGAAAAACTTTACGGATTTAATTTATGCAACGATGTTGAAGATAAAAGGGGAGATGAGAAGAAAATTAAGTTCAAGATGTGATAAAATAATGGCAGCATCCAGTCCGTATTTTCACATCTACCTGTAAGAGATATATTTATCAATGTAGGAGCTGATGTATAACTGTCATTTCATCCCTTCTTCCATAATTTTATTAGTTTAAACTCTAACATGAAAGAATTACACATGGCAGTGTCGAATGGCCTTTCATTTCCATCTAATTTCATAACCAAACACGACCAGATGCCTCAGGAAGAAACCGATGCTGCAACCTAATTTCTCTGTAAACCAAACAAATGGTGAGTAGCACTTTAACAGCAGAGCAGGGCGTGTCACCTGCTCAGGTGTATTCATGCTTTAGACTACTGAACAAGCTGTAACTATTATATCAGCACAAAGGCTCAGGTGGTTTGTAGGACTTGGTCATCTGTAAGGTTGATCTCCCTCTGTCAGGTACGTACTAAGGTTATTTTTATTTTTTTAACTGAAACCATTTACATTTCTGTAAACTAAAACAGGAACTATTTTTGTTTTCATCCACAACTGAATCCAGAACACCGTCTACACTCTGCCTGAATCATGGAGCGGCTGAAGTTAGTCCTGCAGTACTTCCAGTCCAATTCTGAGTCCATCTCTAATGGTATCTGCATCATCCTCGCCCTGGTCAGTGTCAAGCTCTACACCTGCTTCGACTTCAACTGCCCATGCGTGCCTCCCTCAGTACAACAAACTCTACTCTCTGGGGGTGATGATCGTACCTCCCATCACTCTGTTCTTCTCGGGGGTCCTGGTCAATCGACATACAGGAGTCATGATGGATGAGCGGATGAGACCGGTCGGGCACAGATCCAAAAACCCTGCAGTGGTTAAGTGAGTAAAACCATCCAGTCACTGAAGCACAATCAGCTGTTCTAAGGACATTTCAACACTTTGTGAGCTGAAAGGTTTGGAAACAGTCATTGTTTCTTAAAGCAGCAAGGTTTTTGTCTTTAAAAAGCTGTTAAATCTCTGTACCATCATGATTATACAGAACTAACCCTCAGTGCTGGAAGATAAAGTCAGAGAGACCAGGCTGAGATGTTTGGACATGTCCAGAGGAGGGACAGTGGGCATTTTTGCAGAGGGGTTTTAAAGATGCAGCTGCTTTGAAAAAGACAAAGAGGAGACGTTTGGATGTAGAGAGAGGAGATGGAAGTAACTGGAGTAAGGACAGGTTGAGATGAAGGAAAATGACTCTGTGGTGACCCCAGAAGAGGGAACAAAAAGAAAAAATATTCATTGAACATAGATTTTTTTCCATAAAGTATTCCATTTTTGTGCACAAATGTGTTTAAAGGTGTAATATGATTAGTATGTTTCACTCATGCTGCCTAAACGCTTACTGGTACAAAGCACCGAGCAGCCGAGCTCCCGCCCCACAGAGCACCCCTCCCCCACACGTCTCTTGACCTTGTAATAAAACTACTTTTCTGTCCAGTCATTTTCGGATTAAAAAAATGCCTTCATCAAGGAAACATATTTTT